ATGTCAAAGTGTGTGCGCGCCTCTGTCTTTGTCCCTGTGCGTGCGTGCGCGGGTGTGTGTGTGTGTGTGTGCCCCCCTCTGTTTCTAAGAGGTTTAACTCGTCCACTAGTGATGCAGGGAGCGTGATGGTCAATTTCCTAGTCATGCCAATGAAGCTATGGAAATCGACTGGATCGAAGTTTGGACGCAAACGTCCGTACCTGCATCTTTGACTGAAACTTGGAGGGTCATGCATGCTTCAGCTGTTTGAACGACCGTAGCTGGGCCCAACTTGAGTCGAAAAGCGCGGGTATAGGTTTCGGATTTGCGCCATAGGGTGGCGTGCGCGTGTGAGATTGGTGACGCGGAGCTGCAAGATCAGGGCAGTCTTGTGAAGAGCACCACCTTTCTTTTGAGCGTGTTTCCAATGGAGTCCAATGAAAAGAGCTGGAACCAAATTCCTTTGTGGAGTGGCCAACCTGAGACATTCTCCCACTTTATCCATGAGGTCAAGTGGACCCTATGTTCTTCGAAGAAAGAGGATCGTTCTTTGTTAGCTGCTAGGATTGTGAGGAAGGCATTGCCATCAGGTCAGCCGACATTGATGCAGTTGATGTACAAGCTTGACCCGAGCGATTTCAAGTCTGAGGGGGACGTCCAAAAGTTGATTGGCTACTTAGAGTCCTCACCCCTCAATCGACAAGCTTTGCCGAATGCAGGACAGAAGATCGGCTCGTACTATCGACGCCTGGCCAAACGACCAGGAGAGAGCGTCCCGGCCTTCCTGGTCAGAGAGGACAAGGCTCATGATGAGATGCTGAAAGCTTTGCAGCGCCTCTTGAGAGAGAAAGAGCTCGACAACGATGGCTACAACTTGACATTGGCAGAGCTCAAGCGCTTTGTAGGCATGGAGCCTGAGGCATCGCTTCTCTATGGAGAGCATGAACCTAGTGGCGCCGCAGCTGATGATAGGATCAAGAGGAAGCTGGTTCACAGAAGAGTTCACAAAGGACAGCAACACCTTCACGTGACGGAGTCCCGTTCTCGCGAAGATCCCAAAGTGCTGCTCCCTCAGATTCTCCGTCGCGTGAGAAGGAGAAGCCAAAAGGAAAAGATGTCCTGGAACTGCTGATGGCCAAAGGCCTCATTCCGTTGGCAGCCCTCGACGTGATCAGGGGTTGGATGCTGCTGGAGATGGCCACAAGTGGCGAGGAAGAGAGACGGCTCATCCGTGCAGCGACGCGGAACAAATTGGGCTACTTTGACATCAAGTCCGCCCTGCTTTCAATGTATGAGGAACAGGACATCGTGGAGGTAAGCCAGGACTCTTTGCAGGCGGGAATCTCCTACCAGGTCCTACCAGTCAACGCGATGGTGGAAGCTCGCCAGAGCATGCGGAAATGGTGCATCATCTCCAACAGGAGCAAGAAGAAGCAGAGCGGAAGCTCTATGAGTTGCAAGCTCTTATGTTCGAGAGCGAGAGGACCCTGGCAGAAGCTCGTCGCGCAGTGACAATGGCAGCCCGGGATCGTGGATGGAATCAGCCGCCTCACCCAACACTGATTTCGCCAACCGCCACTCAACCTCAGCCACACCATCAGCCCCATCGGCTTCACAAGACACGTATCCCCCTGGAAGGCTCCACCTCATTTCACCCAGAAGCCTCCCCAGGAGCAACTCGAAATCTGGCTGGACTACCACGCGGCGCAATTTGACACTCCAAACAAGCCACAGCGCACCTACATTGCCCGCCTTCTTTTGGATAGCGGTCTCACCTACGCCGACGTCTACGACTTGGCAGTTCACACATACAAGTGGAACACCGCATCAGAACGGTATGACCTTTTCCACTTCAACCACATCTCCATCCCTTCTCTCTCCCACAAAGCACACAAACGCTTTCCACCGCCACCCACTCGTGCCACCAACACTTCCCTTGAGATTGTCCACATCAACGCCGGCCACACTCTGTGGGCAACGTTACAAGTTTTACAACAAGGTCGCTTTCTTACTGCGCTGTGCTGCCATGCTGCCGAGCCGCTGCGCGCTTACACGACCTCCCCACCGACCACCACAGCCAACACCACAGCGTCCTCCCAGCGCCATGAAGCTCTTCCTCTGTCTCCCAACACCGCTCAATTTACCGATGGGGCAAC